ATAAAATCAGTAACCTGAGAACAAGAATCAGATAATCAGGCTTAAATTTTAGTAATTAGAAATCAAACTTTAAATCAGATAAATCATACTGAAACATGTCAATAGATATTCACATTGCAAATCAGATAAAACAGTCATGTGCATATGGTATTTCGAACATATATTTAAATCAAATATATGATACACAAGGAACACACCTCGCAAAAAGAATCAGTCTAGAATATCTACCGAGCACCAGCTTCACTACGTTCTTCGACTATACGAGAACCTAAGTTATAATAGTATAGAGTTATTATCGAAGTAATATACTAAACTGAATATTTATCAGGGTTACAGAACTATACGAGTATTCATGAGATCTTGCAGATGAGCAGATAGGGAGGAACTGGTCGAGGAGTCGAATGATCAGGAGATGCACGAGTACCTTAAATATAACATAACATTAATTAGTCATTGACCCTTCAGTTAAATTTTATGCACTGAAATAAATACTTAATTTACATATGCACGTTCATGTTTATGATTAATTTGGAGGCTTTCGTATTCCAATTTGGAAAAATTGACTTCAGATTCATACTCAAGACGTCGAAAAACATAAAATATGACTTTTTGGAAATTTTAACTTTTTGGTCAAAGTCAAAGTCAACAAGCTAGTCGATGGTCATGTCAAAATTAATGGATCGGGTCAAGGTCAACGGGTTAGATTGGGTTCGGGTTGACTCTAGCCTGTTTGGGTTGACTCAGTTCGGTTTGAGTTGACTTAGACCTGTTTAAATCGGTTCAAGCTGATCCAGACTGACTGGATTGATCTAGAATGCTTTTCTGGGAAGACCAAATCAATATCATCAATTCAACATAACCCAATATTTCATCCAAAGCAATTAAATCAACCTGAAAACATTCGAATGCTTTCCCCAAATGGCTATTGACGATGGAACGGCTTCAGATGATGACAGTCGAGTTTTTGTCGGACGGTGATAAGGAGTTTAGTGGTAGCGGCGGGGAAGTAAAAAGGTGGTTGGAATGACCAGAAATGAGGAAAAAGTAGGCGGTGATGTTTTGGGTTTTGACGAACTTTCAATCGTTCGTTCTCGGTGAATGGAGACCGATACGGGGTCGAGGTCAGTTGGAGATGGGTCGCAGGAGAACGCCAATCACGCTGGTAGAGTCAGCGCACACCGACGACGACCGGAACGGGTGGTTTAACATTCAGAAATGGCATCGGTGAGGGGTTTAATTTGGGTTCACAAACGTTGGGTTTGGTTTTTGGAAATGGGTTATCTATGACCTTAGGTTTATGAAAAAGCCCCCTTGGCCACTAAATCACATTTTTCACTAACTAGAAAAATAGATTAATTCAAGGTTAAGTCCCTAAACTTCCTAGATTTTTAAAACTAGCTCAAAAGTTTTAGAAACTTATAATTTAGTCTGTAAAATCAATAAATTAATTTAATAAATTTTAGATTGAAAAAAATGAGGGTGTGACAACAATACAAACAATTATATTAAAAAAACAAACAAAATAATTAATATTGATCATGTAACATTAAAAAAATTTAAATTGTAATACCCAATTAAATAACCATATTTCTGGGAAAACAGTATGAGCATTGGCGACATCCAAATAATTGCTCTTGGCCATGTAAACAGTGCTAGATGTATCATTCCAAGTGGCAACATTCGTACAAATTCTACGTTCTTTAGGCGTTAAAAACTCCAAATATTCATGTATGTATCACTTATTGTACTGGTATATTTGGCATACTCTAATAACAAATCACATGCCTTATATTTATACTGCATGAAAAACATAACTCTTACAAACATTTTTACAACATTAAACTCAAATTTTAACATGAATTATAACCAATAAAGAATGATTTATACATACCTTAGTATTCACTTTAGATTTTCTAGCTCTTTTTACAGTGCCATATCTTTCGACTTCAAATCTCAGTAAAATCTAACCATGCTGTCGAACATCTCAAACTTTTTCTCTATTGTGACCTATTTATATTTGACAAAGTTGTAGGACCGTTAGACATTTTAGGCCCAATTTTGCACCATTGGAGTTTCCTTCAATGTAACTAATTGACTAGGAAATCGATTGAGACTAAATTTTTGGAAAATCATCACTATCAGTCTTGCAGTTGTCTTCATAGTTAACATTAAGTTTCTTTTTGCATTCTAATGAGGGAGAAGGATAATCACAATCACAATTAATAAAAGGAGATAAACTTGGTTTTTTGATACCACTCTCGGTTTGATCATTCAATGGTGCAACACTTATTATGTCTTCCATGTGTGATTTATTTTTAAAACTCTCATCTTTCAATAGAACGCTATGTAAATTTGTCACTTCTGATCTATTATTTAAGGCATTCTCCTTTGATGATCGACTATGCATACCTTCTCCTTTTACTGAATCACCATCATGTATTAAACTTTTAACATTAATCGGTGTTAATATACTCACTTAATTTCCCAAATTGGCCATTTAATATTTCGAATTATCCTTTTAAATTTTTGAATTGGCCATGCATTATAGCAAATTCCTTTTCAATTTTGTGCACCGATTGAATGAGTGTCTCGAACTTGTGATAACTCATAAAAGAAGTTCTAATCTTATCCTATGAACAACTTCAGTTTTTTCCTATATGTATATAAAACAAATAAAAAATAAACAACAATCTTAAAAAAATAATAAAAAAATATACCGACAAAATAAATGTATCACAAGTATTAAAAATTCAATTTACTTATAATGAATGTACCTCATTCTTGGACTTATCCTAACTCATGTCGATATGACGCTTATACACCATATTCTTAACTTGTTTTGAGGGTGTTTAGTTTAGATCCATCATCTACGTAAAAAAAAAGTATAAGGTCGGACCAACGAAAAAGCATACCGTACTGATACTCTAGATGAGTGTATCGGTACACTAAGAGGAATTCAGGAAAACAGAAAAGAATTATGGTACCGATACACTACAGGTACCGATATATGGTTGCTCGAGTACCGGTATACACTGCTAGTGTACTGGTACGCCCTTCACGGTTTGAAAATTGAGAATCATGAATTGGATTGAAAATAACTTGTTTCAACGTAAAAATTAAGGTGATTGTTCTAATTGGGGTTTTAGGAAGGGAATTTTGGAAATCAATTAAGGAATTCATGTTATGCAATTGGAAAAATCTAAAATTAGGGTTATAGTTTAGGAAATATGTGATTGGGAAAAAAATGAGAGGGGAGAAGTCTCACATCAGAAACCACAACCACTACCGGTGAAAGCGTCGATAGCCGGTCTGCCACCACCCTTCGATGACAGCTTGGATGAAACACCAAGTTTGAATCAAAATAAAATTATTCTAGCTTACCTTAACGGGTTGGTTGCGCAAACGGCAGTGACGGCGTCCACATCAGGAGGGATGAACGACAACGATTCAATCGAATGAGAAAGAAGAAACTGGCGATGACGGTGGTGGCGGTGACAATGAAAAAATTATAACTTTTTTAAAAATAGGGTTTTGTAATTAGGCATAACTATTTGAACTAATTATACAAAAATATTAAAAAAACAATTTAATTAAATTTGTGATTTATTTAAAATTACAATTACATTTTTAACTAAAATATAATTATATGTTAAGTAACTTATAATTTTATCGTTTTACAATTTAATTTATCGATACTTATCGTTATTGGTGTTCATCGCCGCTCGTCAAGCGCACAAGAATCATCTTAAATAAATACAAGTATTTTTTTATTGGATGATTCTGCCACGTTCGACGAGTACCCATGAGTACCATTAATATAATTTATAAAACTTTAAAATTATAAAATATTCAACGTGTAATTATAAATTATTTAAAAATCTAAAAGTAAATTATTTAAAATAAAATATTAATTACATTATTTTATAATCTTATTTTAAATAATAATTAGTTCAAATATTAATCCCTAAATTAAAAAACCTTAAATTCTTTTTTTTTACTTTGAAGCTATCGTCGTCGTCACCACTGTTGTTGTCGTCGATATTGTTGTCATCGTCGTTTCTACTGTCGCCACTACTGTTGCTACTAATGTCTTCATCGCTATCGGCGACAGTGCTGTTGTCGCCACGTCAAAGTAAAAAAATAGGATTTTTTTAATTTAGCGATTAATTTTTTATCTAATTATTATTTAAATTAAAATTATAAAATAATGTAATTAATATTTTATTTTAAATAATTTAAAATTCTATTTTTAGCTAATTTATAATTACACATTGAGTACTTTATAATTGTAAAATTTTGTAAATTAAATTAAAAGTGTTTATCGATACTCGTCGAGCGTTGTTGAATTTTTCTTTTGTATATAATTTTGGGGTAGCATAAAACAATATGTTTTCAAAGACTCTTAACCATTTAACAATGAATGTTCACACCCCTGACATTTTTTGTGCTCGAATATAATACCTCGAGATATAACAATGATTCCCTTAACCATTGAGATCCTTAGTTCGTGCCAAGAATTTTTTTAATAGAAATAAAAGTACTTTTTAAATAATACTATTTGATGATTTTCATTTTATTATTATGATTATGTTTATAAAATTATTTTTCACATAAATAATCCTATTTACATTGATAAGAAAGAACGAATATTGCTTAGATTGAAAGATTTTGACCATTTTGAACACAACAATTGTCATTTATCGAAAAAAAAAATATTCAAGTAAATTGAGACTAATTTCGAGGTAAAATATTGGAAGGTTGCTTTGTCATTTTATTTGTTTAAGAAAAGACAAAAAGGCTTCCCATGAATTGAAATTGAGTGTATGAAAACAATTTGATCTTCAAAAACAAAAAAAAAGGTTGATTTTATGGTCAGATTCAAGCCGTTGAATTGGATTGAAACGAGCTTCATTTCCCATCATTACCTTTGACTTGAGTTTCCATTAAAACCCAGTCTTTAACCTGAGGTTTTCACCAAACTCATCTCCCTTAGAATCTCCATTAAAGGGTTGAGTTCTTCAACTGTTGCATACGGATGCAGATTTTATATTAGAAGGACGAAGTCGTAGTTGTAATCTTAATTTATACCAACCCCATCAACTTTGTTGGGTCCTTGTAACATGGATGGTGAGTCGAAGATCCATGTTGATAAGGTTGAAGATGAGATGTTGCCTGGTTTTCGATTTCATCCGACAGACGAAGAGCTCGTCGGATTTTACCTCAAGAACAAGATACAGCAGAAGTCATTACCCATTGAGCTCATCAAGCAACTTGACATTTACAAATATGAACCCTGGGATCTCCCAAGTGAGTTTTCATAATTTCTTTACTCTATTACTACACTCAGTACTAAATTACCATTCCAGACCCGCTGTCGCAATTGCGAATGTTACGGATGTTATAACGTGATTTAATACTTAGGGTAGTCTATGTAAAACTCATTCCGGATATTCTTTCTGGTTTCATTTACTTAGGTCTAGCAGCATCCGGCGAGAAAGAGTGGTATTTCTACTGTCCTAGAGACCGTAAATACCGAAACAGTGCGAGGCCTAACAGAGTAACAAAAGCCGGATTTTGGAAGGCGACTGGAACTGATAGGCCTATTTACACTTCCGATGGCACCAAATGTATTGGTTTAAAGAAGTCCTTAGTGTTCTATCGAGGAAGAGCTGCCAAAGGGACTAAAACAGATTGGATGATGCATGAATTTCGACTGCCTTCACTCTCGGACAAAACCCTTTCTGCTAATGTAAATGATAATCATTGAATCCATTAATTTTTTTTGTAGGAACAGTCTAACATTTGGCTTGTTCTCATTACAGGATTCGTGGGCTATTTGTAGGATATTCAGAAAGATCAATTCCATGGCTCAAAGAGCTCTTTCTCCTACTGTGATACCCTCATTATCATCTGATATACTCCACAATTATGACCCTAGCAATCACTTCAATTCGGACATTTCTTACAGAAACAATGAAATGCAACATGCACAACAATGGAGACCATCTCCGTTGCCGGTTCCCAATGGAGAACTTCACAACAACTTCACGTTTTCAGTCGATGCTTCGTCTACGGAATTGAGGCCACAGGCGATGATGATGGTCGCCGGTGAAGTTACGAACAACTCCGGGAATATGGATTTCGAAGGGCAACAACAGCATTTCGATTGCTTCTCAATAAGCTTGGCACAAGACCTGCAAGGAACGGGGAAGACTTGGAATGAAGGTCTTGACGAGAGCCGTTGGAGGAATTTCAGAACAATGGGATTTCCTTTTAGTTTGTAGCCAAATGCGTTCGATTTATGGAAGCCTAATCTGCCATGGGATTCACCTCAACTCCCCCCTCAAACTTCCACTACTTAACACACAGATGCTATACATAAACACACATTTTCATACGCAGTAATAGTTAAATATATATATATATCTTAAATACACTTTTGGTGTATGAATTACAAAATCTCTCTCAAATTAGTATTTAAAGAAATTTTATTCTCAAGTTGCTCTTCTCTTAATTTGGTAATTAAATAAATTTTTCTCCAAAGTTAAAACCTGAACTTTAATTCCTATAATTATTTTAGTACTTTTATCAGCGGTGTTAACATTTGATGACATAATATTATATCATGTATTAATGATGTGTTATATGTGTTTTAAAAATTAAAATTTTAAATATATTAAAAGTATCAAAACAAAATTTTATTTTCGACTAACTTAAGTGTGCATAGTTTAGGTATCAAATACATATTTAACCTTATATTTAACAAATATTTTTGCACGAACCAAATGAACTTGGTAATAAGTGAATTTTTGTTATAATTTGAGGATCCGGATTCGAACACCAGGAATGCTAGAGATATAAATGTTCAATATTAAATGGTTGAGATTATCTTTGAATAGAAACTATCTTATACTTACCTAGATTAATAAAGAACTATTTTCTATAACTATTGTTATATGTTTCATTTAACGATCAATTCGAGTATATCAATGAATATATTTGTTATTTTATTTTTTAAAAATATAATAATTATTAATTTTTTATTAAGTTAAGATAATTATAAAATAATATATATTTTAAATATTTTCTAAACACTCAATGACATTCAGCAAAGTTTGTGCCACTTCAAATTATATAAAACAATTTCAAATAGAATACGCTCTATCCTTGCCAACTAAGATAAATTGTTATATAAGACATCGCTCTTTGCTTTTCTCTTTTGACAGGCAAATCCTATTATGGTAAAAATAGATATTTAAATTTTACAGAATTAGATATTATATATTTAGGTAATTTCGTGGAATAAGATTTACTAGCCCTGCATGAATTCGAATAAAATGAAATTCATATAATATCTCATAATCAAATTGGCAGATGTTGTGAAGATAATATTAAAAACCCATCTTCGCAGGCTAAATTAGCGTATATAAGGAAAAAAGAATGAAAATTGGAAGTACTTGCAGTGTTTTTTCATAGCGACAGGGAAAACCGTTAGTAACCGGTGACAACTACGATAAAGATGAAAATTGGAAACAATTTTGATTGATATTATTTTTTAACAGACTGTCAAATAATATAAGATAATACCTATTTAGAAATTTTCTTACGTACATACATCCTACAAACACAATTAGTCGAACCCGAAACAAACAATTTTGATTAAAAATAATGAAATTCGATCCTTACTCGGCCTTACTTCGAATAGAAATGTCTCAAAATGGTATATGAAAATTATAAAAAGAGAAAAAGAAAAACACAAGCGTCTTTAAGGTAATAACTGGGCAAATTGATTTGTCATCAAGTGAACCAAGCGGCAAGATAATCAAAGTATATATATATATATATATATATATATATATATATTAAGATTGCAAAAATTCAGTTCAATAACAACCAACATCTAAATTTTTTGCTCTTTGAAGCTTGCTTTTCCTTGGACTTTTGGATCTTCAGAACTTTCTTCACAATCTTCTGCTCTTCGACCAAGAAGGCTCGAATTATCCTTCAAAAGACGGAAAGAAAACAATCAGATTTGCATCGATGACAACCAACAAAGACCAAAGCTAGCATCCATTATCATGTAACAGCAAATAAACAATGGAGGAGTTTCTAATTTATACCTCTCCCGGATAGCACTACCTGACAAAACACCACCATAACCACAATTCACAGTCTGGCGACTCCTCGGCAACCTAGACCTCATGTATTCAGCAGGTCTCAAGTGAGGAATCTGTGGTGAACCCATGTAAGAGAAGCATAAGAACAACCTCAAAAACTTCACAACTCAAGAATGTAATCAACCAAATGTTCAGTAAGACCTAGTTGAGAAAGTAAACATATAATGATGAATCTAAAAAGGTACCCCCATAATTCTTTTTTTGTCAAAAAGGTTTTACATTCGAACTTAATATACAGAAAACATGGTTATCTAAAGTGCTATAGTTCATAAACAGCTTCACAAGTGAAAACCTGGTTACAACAATAGGCTGTTAAAGCTTTGATTAGATCGGCAACATTGATAAACACAGCTCAGACCGAGAACACATCAAACTTAAATCCCCGATGAACAAAACTTACTGCTAATTCCTAATTGATTTCATAAAAACAACCTTATCTTAAGGTTTAAAACTCCTGAACATCAAATTTGATATACTATACTATCAGAATCACAACTCCTTTTTAGATTTTAAACAAGGATCTAAAACTAGCATTAAAAGTATGAAATTTTGAATGTTTAATTTGGGACATAAAATCATGAAGCATCCAACAAAATGAATATAAAAGACAGAAAGTATAAACCAATATTCACTTCCCCCATCATTATAAGCAAATGGGTATCTAGATTACATACTAATTGGATCAAGCGAACAATAAGATCAAATCCCCCCAACATAAAAACTGAATTTGAATTTAAGAAAAGAAAAGTACTTGCACCCTGAATTCTTTTGTCAGTAACAGGACACTTACGCCCACTTGCTCTCTTCTTAGTAGTCTGATAAACCAATTTTCCAACTTAAAAAATACAAGAAAAAACATAAATTTCAATTGAAAATTAGACGAACAAAAACCGGCAGCATTCTATAAACCTCCAAACTTACCAGGGGTCTTAACCACACGGTGTTGGTTGGATTTGGTAGCGTAGCTATGGCGAGTCCGATAAGTGAGTCTTTGAACCATTTTTTATGGTTTTCAAGCTTTGGGTTTTACCTTTCTGCTCTATTTTATTGAAAGACCAAAGAGAGGCAAAGCGAAGAGTAATCATGGGTTTGTTTTGGAGATGGCAATGTATAAATATGAATACCTTTCTGCCCTAGATCGTACGGTTATATTTTGGGGTTTTCTATCAACGGTTGAGATTATGCACGTTTGTTTTATATCTTAATTATATATATATAATTGATGTGTTTTTCAATAATTACTAGATAATTAATGCCTAATTCTTTTAAAAATTATAAAACTTTTCTAACTATAAATTTTACGATAATCTACACCAAGTAGCACTTAACTTTAGGCTATGTATTAGGGATAGACATGGGTCGGAGGTCGGATTTTCGATCCAACCGACCTGAAAATTTTAAATCCTCCACCCGACCTGAATCCGACCAAAAAATATACCCTTTCACTTAAATATATAAGATAAAATTATAATTTTTTCAGGTTGGATCGATTCACCCTAAACCTAAACTCGACTCGAGCATAATTTTAAAAAACCTGACCCGACCTGAACCTGAATTATTTTTTAAAAAATCCAACCCGATCAAGTCGGGTTGAAACCCGTAGGGTTCAGCTCCCATGCCCATCCCTACTACGTATAGTGTATACCATGGAACTTTCAATTTTACCAATTGGCTTAATATACTTTTAGGTGCTTAAATTATAGCTCAAATTGATTTTTTTTTGTCTTTGAAGAATATTTTGTTAAAAAATTTGAACGTGACACATGTCACTTAATGATTTTTTAACGGTGAGCCCCTAAAAGTATAACCGAGAAAATATTAGACACCAATTTTTAATAAAAACTTCTTTAGAGACCAAAAATAAATTTGATATATAATTTAGGCACCTAAAATTGTATTAAGCCTTACCAATTATATCATTGAACTTTGATTTCCGCTTCAATTATGCCATTGACCATCAAATTTTAACGACGCAATGACGTGGACATATATGTTCATTAGTGTGATGACTCGAATAAAACAATGTCATTTTGTCCACGACTATTGATGTCCAAAACGTTGTTTTAGGTATTGAACTTTAGGGGTGTATCGATTTTATCATTAAACTTTTAATCAGATATTTTGGCACTACACTTTTTAGCAGTCGTTCTCCACCAATCATCGCTCGTCATCGATCATCTTTTGCGATAAAATCAATACCAAAACGTTCACATTTCACTTATTTTTTTCTTCTAGTATGACTGATTTTCTACGAAAACCCTCAAAATTGACGAAAATCTATTAAAAATTTGACTTATTAGTGCTCTTATATCTTCCAATGATTATCTGATGAGGCTAGTTTTGTGGTATGTTGTTTGTCTTTTCGAAATGATATTTCTCATTGTTTGGATTTTTGAGGAAACACCTCAAATCTCGCAAAACTAAGAAAGCCTCCAAACCCTTAAAAATGATGGATTTTTTTGTTTGATTTCGTCGATTTTGTGTGTGTTTTGTGAGAAATCAATCCTACAAGAAGAAAGAGGAGTAAAATATGACCATTTTAGTACCGATCTTGCCGCGAAGGATGACAGATAATAGGTGATGATTGGTTGCTGACTTCGACCGAAAAAAATATAGTGACAAAAATGGATATACTTAAAAGCTTGGTGGAAAAATTGATACATCTTAAAGTTCAATACCTAAAATGACACCGTTTTAGGCATCAATAGTCATGCCAAAACGAATGACGTCGTTTTGTCCATGTTATCATTTCGTTTGAATTTTAATGATCTAGTAGCATAATTGAAGTGGAAATCAAGATTCAATGCCGCAACACCTAAAATTCATATCTGATGTAATTTACCTAAAATTTAATCTTTCTCGGTTGTTTTAGATTTAAAAGTTACGAATATAACAAACTTGATGAATATAAAAATATTCAAGAAAGTGATTAAATTGTAGGTATTGTCGACTTTTGCCGGTAATCTGGTAAAAATTATATATTAAAATGAAGAAACGATTATAGTTCGAAGTTTAATTGAATAAAGTACTAATATTTCAAATATATATTTATACTGCATCTCTATCTTTCTTTCATCATCTTTTAGATTTATTTCTGTTATGTTATTAGTGTAGTCACTCATTTTGGTCCGGATTTCTATTTAATATATATACATAATATATAGAATATATAGTTTTGAAAATATTTTTAAAAATATATATAATATCTAGTTTTGAAAACATTTTTGAAAATATATATTATATAGTTTTGAAAACATTTTTGAATATGCATATTTATATATATATAGTTTTGAAAACATTTTTGAAAAAAATATATATAATATATAGTTTTGTAAACATTTTTGAAAAATATATATAATATAATTTGAAAACATTTTTGAAACATATATATAATATATAGTTTTGGAAACATTTTCGAAAAAATATATATATAATATAGTTTTGAAAACATTTTTCGAAAATATATATAATATATAGTTTTAAAAAATGATTTATAGTTTACTTATTTCTTTATTTATTTATTTTTATTCGTTTATTTTTATTTTTTAGTCTTTTATTTTTCTGGTTCAAATAGTCCAAAATTTGGGTCCAAATACAATCCAACCAGGTAAGCCTGACCCAGCAGACCAGGCAAGCTCGAGTGGGCCTGACCCAATCCAAAGAATTAGGGTTTTACATTTAATCAGTGGCGCCGCAAGGGAAGAAAATAGTCACGCTCGTGGAGGTCACGCGCCAACGAATTGGACGAGATCGTCGGCTGAGCGCCCGGGATTGAACCATCCCTGGATTTTTGACCCAATGTCGACCTCAACAGAACGTGAACGGGTCAATAAACAGTCCCGAAAAGATCGGGGATGATCCCGAGATCATCGAAACCCAAACGGTCGATCGAAGGCTATAAAAGCCTTGTCGGGGATAGATCAAAGGACACCGAGAAAGCATCACTAAAAAATCAAAGTACGAACAAAGATCACCAGAAACACCGAATACCAAACTACCACACCAACCAAAGCAACCAAGCAAACAGAGCAAAAAAAGCAATCGAAACAACAAAAACGAAACATAAAAAGCATTCAAAATAGCGAGGAAAGTCACACAAAAAAAATCAAGGTTTCGGTTTTGGGATTGCACGGAGGAAAGCACGGTCGTGGAAAGCCAAAGGTCGTTAGAAATCATAGAGGCTCGTCGGGAAAAGGTAAACCTGAGATTTCCGTTACTAGATCTATGCGGTGGGGTTATTTTTTGGGTGTTTGGGCTTCGGTTTTTGGTTTAGGATGTTGAGAGGAAGCTTTGGGTGTGCTTGTAACTTTTCGGCCACTGGTGGTGGTGGCTGGAGCAGCGGTCAGCGGTGGACTGAGTGACGAGGATGTGACCAGCCATAGTCCAGTGTGGGGAGAAAGTTGAGAGAATATTTTTAGAGAGGGGAGAGTGATTTGTGAAATAGGAGGGGAAATAAAAAATTTTAGGTTTTAAGGGGTATTAATAGGAAGGATCGAAGTGTAATTATGAAAAATTTTAAATTATTTCTGCAGTCCTTATAATTTTTATGTGTAATTCATTTTAGTCACATATTGCAATTTTACCTCTGAATCTTCAATTAATTCAATTTAGTCCTTATTTATAATTTATATTTTTACAATTTAACCCCTCTAACTCTTTATTTTTTTCTTGCAGCTCATATTTTAGCTTCAATTTGATCCATGAATTTCAATTTATTCGAATTTAGGCCTTTAAGTTTTTTATACTTTTCTTTTTACTCTGTTTTTTATTGACTTCCAAAATTTAACATTTCTTTTTTTATTCATTTTTTTAAATTAAATTTTTGTCACTTTTTTATTTTATTTATTTATCTATTTATTTATTTCCTTTAAAATTTAATTTTTCTTCATTTTTTCTCTCTATTATTCTTTCTTTTAACTTGATTTTATTTTTTAAACCTTCTTTCTCTTTTTATTTAATATTTATTTATTTATTCTATTTTACAATCTAACATCTTTTCAACCTTTTTAGGGGTAATTTCAATCGATCAAAGGTAAGCAATTCGAATCAAATTTTTAAATTTTAATTTTAATTTTCTCAATTAAGACAACCGAGAAATTAAAATGATACCAAAAGGGCAGTACGAGGGTGCTAATCATTCCTTGACTGTAACCGACTCCGAGTCCGACATATTTCTGGTAAAACAAAAATCTGGTAAGATGGTAAATTAAGGTGTTCGATCAACCTAATTTTTAAAAAAATGATCGGTGGCGCTCTTACATATTTTATTTAAGTCGAAGCCCAATTCTGGGCCCACTCGAAAGAAGTTGCGACATATTGGCGACTCCATTGGGGACATGTAAGTGAGTCAGGCCAGAATTAATTTTCAGTTGTCTTCTTAAGCGAGAATTTTAAGTTTAAATTTTAATTTAACTTTGCAATCCTTATTACTTATCTTTGATTATTTTTCAAATAAATAGTTGTACTGACGTTTTTCAATGATTTAAACTTTTAAACTTTTTCATCTCATGCTCTATACCCGAGCTCCTAAACCATTTTATAAGTGGATGTGAAAGCGAAGCCTTCGTGAGAATTTATTCTCCATATAGACCTAGGAAGTAACCTTCGGGATTTATATATCTTATATATTCGTGTAAATTTATTCTCCGTATAGACATAAGGGAATATATCCTCTCGAGTTTAACTTGGTCTACATAAGCTTGTAATAGGCTTAAGACTGAGGATCTGGCAAGCCCAAGGGGGCACCAGCAAGGACAACTCGGATACTCTTCTTTATAACCTAAACCGAGAGACTACATGGGATTAGAGCCCACCCCGAAACTCCATTTCAAAACCTAGGATGTTTGAGTTATTTCCTGTCTTACTTTCTGTTCAAAGCATGCGAACTAGAAAATATGCAGTTAGGATTTGCTCAAAAATTAGCATGTGGGGTAGAAAGCATGTATGGTAAAAATTAAAGCATGCTGATTAGATATCATGCGGGGTAGAATATTTTTTTACTTTCAGTATTATTATGATTATTATTTTACTGACTTGTTTTTCTTTTATCTTTTGTTTTCTTTTAACTTATCATTTA